GGGGGGAAGCACGTGGCGAAACTGGCCTGGGCGTTGCAGCAGGCGTGGAGATCGTGAGAGCGAAGAGCCGAAGAGGGGAGCGGCGAGCTTCTCACGACGCGTGGCGCAAAGTTGAGTGGCCATAAATCAATAATTTAAAAACCGGAATTTTATTTTACAAACAAGATCAAATCATGACTAAAACACACGAAAAACACATTAATTAAAACATGGGCTGAAGATTTTGCGTTTTTTTATTATGGTGGCCATAAGCTATGAGCAGTCAAGAACTTTTTTCAGGAAAAGTGCTTTAGCCTAAACGTTTTTTATCTTCAAGTGTGTATTGACCACTTTTCTCTAGAAAAAAGCTGCTTTTTAAGCGTTACTTTGCGCTACTTTAGATCGATCGCAAAGTAACGCGTCACAAACCGACGCGGAATGTATGGGTCACTGAAAAAAATAGTCCAGAGAGATAAGCATCCGTAATTTATTCTAAATTTGATTTAGAATGTCTAAATCCATGCGGAAAAATCCAAACGTCTTTGACACCCCCATGGGCGTGCGTGGGTTGACGCGCTACTGCCGCCAGAACGAGGCCGCGACGTCCGTTGAGGAGCTCGATCTACACGACGTGACTCTGGCTGTGGACTTTGTGGGCTTCCTGTATTACTTATGCGAGGAGCTCTTCAACGAGACCAACGCGTCGCCTTCATGGCTGCTACTGGGCGGCTGCACCCTTCGGCTCGAACGCTATGTGGACAGGTGGCTCAAGCGCCTGAGAGTGCGCAAGGTCCGTCTCGTGTTCATCACAGACCCGCCGCAATGCTTCGGTGGCGAGAGCCACCGCAAGGGCTACTGCCTGCAGGACCGCTCGCTGCAGAAGGCCGAGCAGATCGAGCAACTGGCCCAGAGCTTGGAGAAAACCGTCACAATTAGTAATATCCACGAGTCTACTAGTATTAGTGGACTAGAAGCACAGAGTGAGACGGTGGCAGTAACTCTAGAATCTGCTTCAAGCCCCCAGCAAAAGGGGAAACTAGCCAGGACGCTCTTGCAGACAAACGGGCGCTTCCCATTCGCTCGAGAGAAACTGCGTGGCGTGCTGAAGAAGCATGGAATCGGAATTAAGACGGCAATTCGAGAGGCTGATGAAGAGCTGGGCAATCTGGTGAGGACAGGGGAAGCGTTCGCAGTATTGGCGGAAGATTCCGACTTTTTAGTCATGAGTGGCGTGAGGTACATTCCGTTTGGGAAATTGAGTTTCTATGAGTGCGGCCACAATTTAGAACAGATGAGGATTCAAGCGAGAGTTTTCTCGTCCGATATGGTGGCGGAATCGCTCGGTCTCGAAGTGGAGCAGCTTTTGGACTTGGCGTTACTATGTGGCAACGATTTCACGCCCTTACTGGACAACGAATTCGACATGGCTACAATGTTGGACTACCCAGTGCAGAGGATGCAGGGATCGTTGTATCCGACGGATGCAGCGAGGTATGTTGTCGACCATATGCCGATACTGGAGAATCCTGTGTTGACCCAAATTGAGGCCAAGAAGAAGGGATTCTTAAGAGCGTTGTTTGAGATCTACCGGTTCTATGGCCATAGTGCTGCGTTCTTAAAGAAGTTTCCAATGAAAATCGAGCCGATCATTGCAACGAAGAAGATGAAGCTGTACAAAAAGCTGATTGACTACTATGACTACCCTCTGATGGCGATCGATATCCTGGAAACGAAAGCTCATGGACTGAGCCAAAGATTTGATGCGTTGGCGTCGGTACCTGATTTGGAAGACAAGTCTCTGGATGAAATGCAAGCACCCGCGCGGCATCTGTCGTATTTGGTGTTGGACACGCCGGTGGTCGAGGAAGGAACAGTCCACAGTTGCGTTCAGGTTCACATCGCCCCTTTGGAGTTCCTTCATCCGTTCATATCTGTCCCAATCCATGCACGTCGTGCCAATGTGGTCGAGCAGGTGTTTCGGTCGTTGATGTTTGTTCTACTCTATGAAGACCCCAATGGGAAAACTCCGAGAGCAGGACAGTTGGCTAATCTATTGGGTGGCAAGGACAAGAAGGGAGTCGCACTGAAAAACATTGTGTACGCTTTGCTCGTCTTGTGGAAACAGGACCGCATCTACCTGACGAATGCAAACTTGATCGATGATCGTTTGCTGGAGCTGTTATTGCTGACGTCATTAATCTCGTTTGCCGTGGATTCTTCCAAGCGAAAGGCAACAGAGTTGGACCCCGTGATGTTTGACGATCAGCTGCTGAATATGGAAATCTACGCTGTCGTGGGTGGATATCTGGAGATATTGAAGCAGCTTCACCAGTTGCGCCTTCTCCTGGGCAACAAACTGCCACAAAATTCTGGATGTTCAACTTATTTTTCCGGTGAAGTCTTTGTTAAAGTTTGCCATACTTTAATGCACAGTGGAAGCAGCTCGAAGGGAAAACCGTCCAAGAATGCCTCGAAATTATCTCGACGAGACGTGGAACCAGTGGTAGAGTTGTTTGCCGAAATCTCCGACAAGAACCTCTTTTGGTCTCACTACACGTACGTTCGTGCCACGATGCAGCGTATGAAAGAACTGATTGTGCTGCCAGTTGCTGGGGCACGTGCTACCGTGGCCAACAAGAGCGCAGCGACTGCAGCGTTAGAGAAAGCCATGCAAAGCAACGGATACACCAGCCGCGAGTCTCAACCACTTACTGTTACGCCGCCTTTGCCACTGGCCTCACCACCTCTTCAAGCGTCAGCACCAGTACTCAATTCTTCTCCTGCTGCAGTAAATCAGCGATCACATCGTCCCCAGCTCGATGCCTCAGCTTTAGCTTTTAACTCTCGATCGGTAAAGGGGTTAATGCCATCGTCTGTAGCTAAGCGTCTCGGCACTGACAGTGCAGTGCGCGAAGGTGCTGGATATGTCTCTGAGCCCAAGCCTGAGCCCAAGAAGTCAGTGAGTCTGAAGGGAATGATGAAGACGCTGCCAGTTTTTGCCCATCGCGACGAGATTTTGGAGAACGTGGAGGCTAATCAACTTACAATCATCCAAGGAGAGACTGGCTGTGGTAAAAGCACGTCTGTACCTCAATTTTTGTATGACTCATGGGCTCGCGGCAAAGCTGCATTCGACCGTCCTGCCAATATCTACGTGACGCAACCGAGACGAATCGCGGCAATTGAACTGGCCAATACCGTGGCTAGGATGCGAGAAGGGAACGAGTTCCACGAGGACGGCCAAGTTGGAAAAGTCATCGGCTACCGTATTGGCCAAAAGCATTTGACTTCCAGCAAGACGAAGATCACTTACGTCACTACCGGTTACATGGTTGAGCGGATTATTCACGATCCAGAGGCGCTGGCAAAGATCACACATTTAGTTCTGGACGAAGTACACGAACGCAGTATGGATGTGGACCTGCTGCTGCTATTGCTGAAGCTCCAGTTGAAGAATCATCCTCACCTCCGTCTCGTGATCATGTCTGCAACTATGGACGCACAGGTTCTCATCAAGTACCTGGGCAAGGCGCTATCGACACGCTTGGTCAGCAGGAAACCTCTGTTTGTCGGTTCCAAGCTGTACCCGGTGAAGAACGTCTACCTCGATGAGTTATCGGATTGGTTTCCAGGTTTGTGGCGACGTTGTCAGAAGGAAATGGTGCTCATGAGAGACCAGTTTCAAGGTCTTTCGCAAAGCCGTCTGAGTGCCAACAGCCAAATGGCGAAGAAGGCGATAGCGAAGGTCCACGAGAAACAGTTAATTGTTATTGAGGAGATGGTGCGTTTGCTGATCGAGGCCCAGCGTCATCAATCTGGATCGCAGTCGCAGTGTATTCTCATCTTCCTGCCTGGAATTGGAAGCATCAATACGCTGTACGACTCGTTGAGCCTTCTCGCAATGAACACAGGGGGTCAACATGTTCAGGTTATGGTGTTGCACTCCGGTATCGAGTTGGAACATCAGCAGGAGGCGTTCAAGTTGCTTGGTGGGAGATCAACGAAGATCATTCTGTCAACGAATATTGCTGAGAGCAGCGTGACCATCCCGGATGTGACGCATGTGATTAACTGCGCTATTGAGAAGCAGATCGAGATGCCCAACGCTGGAAGCTCACACGCAGAAGTTCTGGTGGACACGTGGTGTTCACGCGCGTCTGCGTTGCAGCGCTCAGGACGTGCTGGCAGAGTCATGCCTGGCACAGCATTTCACCTGTTTACAGCAGCATTCCGTGACTTGTGTATGGCTGAATACAACACTCCGGAACTGCTACGCAAACCGCTGGATCGTATCATCTTGCAACTCAAGGGACAGCTGAATGCGTTTGGAGTGCCGAGTGCGCTTCTCCGTCAAGCTTTGGATGCTCCAGACCTCTCGCATATTGACGGAGCCTACAAGCTGTTGGCTGCGTTTGATGCGATCGACTCCGAGGAAGAGGAAGGTTCTCGCTTGACGCGGTTCGGATCTTTTGTGTGCCACTTGCCACTCAGTCTCCAGCTGTGTCGGTTGTTGATGACAGGGGCCTACGCGGTGCAGGACAACACGAACAAGGGAGAATCGTGGCCACTTCTGCTAAACACCGTCATCCTAGTGGCGATACTTGCAGTACCCGACCTATTCGTGATGCCGTCATTCTACCACGCCCAGTCAGCGCAGAGTTATTTGAAAGAAATGAAGAAGAATCTGCAGGCAAAGCTCAAACTCGATGGAGGAATATGGAGCGAACCGCTGTCTATCTGGCTCTTGTACATGGAAACCATGAGCGAGCAACGTGTCAACGTCAAGCGCAACTTGAGCGGCGTATTCCACAAATTGTCCATCTCAGCACGTCGATACCAAACGCTCAATTTTCTGATTTCCGATCTATGTGTGCGGTTAATTTCGCTGTCGAAGAGCAAGACGGACGAGTTTAACCAGCTCTTTGACGCGAAAGCCGTTATCATGTTGACCAAGTTGGATGCGTATGCGAGCTCGCAGCGGATGGACAAGAAGCTGCTGAAGTTCGCGAGAGATACCGTCACAGATAAGCGTGACGAAGTGCGTATTCTGCGCTTTCTTACCATCCAGAACTTCGGCGAGCATTTGATCGGAAGCACGCGAGACAAACCGTCCAAGTTTGCGGACGATGACCTCAACGAAACGGATCGAGTCGACTTGAAGGTGAACCGGGAAGAAGCTGCCGAGTTCAAGTCTCTATCAAACCGAAACAAAGCCACACTGTTCAACCAACTGTCTGGCAGCGCTAATCCGATGGACGAGCTTGCTGCCCTGGCATACGATGAGAATACTGTGTCAATCTACTCGTACACTACACCGAGAAACCAGGACGAAAACGAAGAGAACTGCTTCACTGAAGTGACTAAAGACGCCGTGGAGAGGATGAGCTTCCCAGTGTCGCTGGTTTACTATATTCGCGGCGAGAAGTTCCCTGTGAATCTAGGCATGCGACCGAAGCCGGAGGAGCGAGAACTGGCGTTCAAGTTCCGAGTAGGAGGTAGTAATTCGTGCGAACTGACGTGGCAGCAGCAGAGGAATAACGTCAAGGCGTCGACTGGCAGTCGCAGTTTGTTCTCCCTACCTATCCGACCGCTGAAAACCAAAACGAAGAAAGGAGCCAAAGAGCCGAAGCTGCTTGCGGTGTATGCTGATCGACTATTCACCGGTGACGAGACGAGAATGTGGTGCACGAACTGCACACTGTTGCCTCCGAGAAATCTGTGCTACTATCCGATCATGCTACTGGTTACAGCTCCGCGTTACGCAAATATTCAGCTGCACATGGATGCTAAAGCTGGCGAGATTTTGCTGGTGAAAGTGGGGGCACAAGATGCGACGTTTCCTCGCAAGATGGCTCTGAAGGTTGAGGTGCTTGCAATGATTAACGCTGTGCGAGCGGCGTTGTCCGACGCGTTGAACGCGACAGTCGGAGCTCGAAGACTCTGTGTGTCTGATTTGTTGGCGTTGTCGGATGACTCGGCTTTCATGACGAAGGAGAGCAAGGCTAATGCGAAACAATGCAAATGGCAACGCTTGGCGATGAATAAACCGGACAAGACGATGCTGGAGGAAGGAGAGACGCCGGTGCGCTTCCCGGAACTCTATATGGCGTAGGTATGTGTTGTGACTGGTGCTTTCTAACTGAGTGGTGTCTAGGTGATCTTGGATCTGCAATGGAGGTCATCTAATCAATCCATCGAATTGGTAATTGCATTTGTAGTGCGTTCTTGTATTCGTTTGACATCTTTAGGTTCGTGAAAAATATTCAAGTGACGGTATGGCAGTTACTACGGATGACCCTCCGTTCCTGAGTCGAGACCCCTTGCGAAGCTCGGGCGATGCATGTTGTGAGGTCTATCGACGCTCAATAAACGTGCGGCGGCTGGCAAGACGAGGATGCCACAGGAGGCGGAGTTCTTCAACGCCGCGTCCGCCGACAGCACGTCAACCAAGACGGCAGATAGCAGAGGGCGTAGCGGGTCCACATCGTCGGCCAGGTATCGTGTATCCTCTCGACCAGTTTCGACGGATGTAGCAGATACTTCGTCGCGCTCGCCCGAGCTGCGGCTGACAGCAGCCAACATGTCGACACTACTGAAACGCATGAGCAAGAATTCAACGAGTACTGAGACGAGTGAGCCAAAGAACGCGCGCTATACACTCGCTATCGAAGCCATATCTCCACCTAAAGGATCAGGAACTGGAGCACCCAAGCTGCCTCAAAAGCTACGACAACACGTGAGTCGACTGCGCAGTCAGTTTGCGTTGGGGGCCAATGTAGCGTCATCGAGGACGTTGACACTCAATGAGCGAGGTCCTTCTGCTGGTTCTCCCCACAAAGTCCCACGGCTCAGCGTGTCATCAGCCTCGATCAACTCCAAGCGCTTCTCCATGGCCACTGTTGCGATGCAACACTCGCGTCGATCGAATCAGTTCCACCTGCTTCAAGCGACTAAAGAGGATGAAAAACCAGCAGAATCAGTCGCTGAGGCTTCCAAAGGACCACAGGAACCAGAGCTTACTGTCGCAAACCCTGGCACATTCCATGATCTCCTTCGACCGTTACAAACCAGTTTGAGTTGTGCTAGTTTCAACACGGGGTGGTCAAGTGATGAAGAAGACGAAGCGGAGCAACTGTTTCGTCAAAGCGAGCGAGAGAACAGTCGCATGTTGCGTGTATGCTGCTCGATCGATAACCTGATGCTGTCAATCGGTGACCAAGCGCAGGAGCAGAAGCAACCTGAAGCCATCATCCGTGGTGCTACGCGAGATCTGGTGAAGCTCTTCCAATTCGCGATGAAGCAGGTGATCTCAGTTGTCTTTGGCGATCACCCGAGCAACAACAACAGCCCCAGGGGAGTGAAGGTGGATGGGAAGGAGGCGCAGTACGCCAAGGAATTTTTACTGGAGATCAATGAGCGTATCGGTAAACTCTATGAGTTCGCTCGCTGTGTGTTCGTGAACGAAGTGGATGGACTCCGACAGCAGATGCAAGCACTCGAAGAAGACCTTGTCGCGGTTAGGATGAAAAATGAGCAGCTTCAGACGGAGATGCGAGACCTGCGCGATTTTTACGAGCATAATAATGCCAACTCAGTGGACTCCTTTGCCGCCGATAGCTCGGATTCCAGACGCCAAATACTAGAGAATTCTAGTGATGATCCAGCGATTTCTGCTCTCTCCTTTCCAGAACTTCCTGAAGTTAGTTCAGACGCTGGAGAAGAAAGCAACGCGTTGAAGCAGCAGTGTCAAGAGTTATCGCGTCTGCTGGAGTTGGCCAAGCAGGAGATCCGGTTGAGTCACCACGAACGCGACGTACAGAAGGCTCGCGTCGCAGAAGTGTCGAGTGCTCTGTTCCACGACAGTGAGCTTGGAATGCTTCGAAACCAACTTCAGAGCGAGAAAAAGCGTGTGCGTGCTCTGGAGAGGGAAAACTTGACCTTACGCGAAGAACAAGTAACGAAGCTGCAAGCTCTAGAAACATTCCAAGCTAGCTTGGGCTCTACTGCAACAGCGGATAGTACCAGTAATGGTCCCTCTATTGGTCGACACAGTAGGCCGTCGATCGACTCTGCGAATTCGACTGTGGCAGCGCAACAAGTTGATCCGGTTCTAAGCGATTCACCTGAAGAATCTACAATACCCGCGAGTGAATTGACGATTGAAACCCAAGAGAACCAATACAACTTCACGAACTCTGGAATAGCTCCGCCGGGTACGTTACAAGACGGCGTTGTGACCTGGTTTTCGCGTATCGTAAACCCTCCACCAGTGACAAATATTCGGAAGTCTCGGAAGAAGCAAACGGATCCGAAGCCTGAGCAACCGTCTGTCGTGGAGCTAAGCAAGTTTATTACGAGTTTGCTGATGACAGACAAGCAGCTTGTTGCTGCGAAAGAAGAATCCAAGGCACGCCGACAAGGGAACGTACCGACTTTAAACCCTCCGATGAGAGAACTGACAGCTCGATCATCAGAGGGATCTGGCTCGCGTAAATCAACAAGCAAAAAGCGGAGACCTTACTCAGCTGCTGCATCGAGTGCCCCAGGGAACAGCAGTCTCGTCAACAGCACAGAAGTTGAGGAGAGTAACGAGGAGATTGTTGCCGGTTGTCTGCAGTTAGCGTGGGCATTTTATCAGCGGTTCTTGGTCGCGGTAGAGGCTCGAAATCTCCTGGGTAATCATGGAATTGGAGGAGATCCAACGCTCGGAGCTGCACTCAACTCAGGTGCCGGCAGTCCAGTCACTGAACCGGTGTCGCTATCCGTGATTGTTTTCCATTTCTTCTTGGAGCGATGTAGTCGCGAGCTGGATGCTGTTCACGAACTGGAACAGTTTGTGCGTTGTCTTCACAGCGTACGCCATGCCAACTATAATCTCGAACTTTTTTGTCAATTCTTGGAAGAATCCTGTTCACGTCAAGAGCTCTGCTTCTTCTTGTGGGTTTGTCAAGCCATGGATGATACCCGGCTTGGAATTCCATACGACGAACCGCTTTCAAGCAATAACGAGGGGATAGACAACCAACAAACACAATATATCTGCGTGCTCAAGGCTACCTTCCTTGCCAGAACCATCTTCAGACTCCTCCACTTCAAAGTGCTCTGTCGACCTATGACAGCGAAGAAAAGTAAGCGTCGAGGCAAAGCCAATGTTAAGGGGAATAGCAACAGTGTCGCTGGGCCTGCAATTGCACCAAACTCCGCGGCAAACTCTCCAAAGCGCAAGCACAGGACTCGCTTGGGTGAACTAAGTGCTGTTCTACTTGTACCTCAAGCTGAAAATGCTACGTCGTCCACCATAGACATGGCAGATACCGGTCAAGTGGAGCAGCAGGTAATACCCCCACATGTTGCTGCTCAAGTTGCGCTACGAGATATTATTGAGAACAACCAGGGCGAGCCCATTTCGCTGGAGGCTTTCAACAATTTGTTATTACAATTTGCGGTTATACCTTCACCTGAAGAGCTAGCAGCGCGATTGGGGCCTTTCTATCAGCCTACTGGAGAAGAACGCAAGATACCAACCGATGTCTTCCTCGCGTTGCTGATGGAGACGTACAAGTTCCAGCTTCAATGGGAGCGCGATCAACTACGCGCGTTGTTTATTCATTTGAACCACCAGGAGGAAATTCAGCAGCGTGCATCCGAGAAATTAGTCAAAGTGGAAGACAAGAAGGGTCGATCTAAAGCTGGTGAGGAAAATAAGAAGCGGTCAAAGGTGAAGCTGAAGAGGGGGAAGAGCCGTCATGCAGCCACAGACAGGAATGGAGAGAGTAAATATCTGCACGGTTTGTCCCGCAACGTTTTACGCGAGCTGCTAGTGCAATCTGGAATAGTTCAAGACAGCGATGTGGCTCAGATGGACATGGATTGGCTGTATGCTGAGTTCTTGAAGAGAGCTGGAGGCGTAGCTGCTGATATCACGTTCGATGGCTTGTTTGATGCTCTACAGAAGATGAGATGGCTAGACAGCACGAAGCTTCGGGTTGATGCACTGATGGAAGTGACAGGTGTGTTACCAACTAAACGACTTCAGAGCGGTGGGAGTTTGCGGACTAAGACACGGGCTTCATTTCTGACTAACCCGAGTTCAATGGTGCATGCGATTAGGGAGAAATGGCGTGTGTGTGCTCGGCACAGTCTCGCTCTATGCACAAACGACCCCAACGCCTTCATCCGTCGTCATACTCAGCGATTGTTGCACTATGTGGACCAAGAACTCGCTCGACTTGTTAGTCGATCCGAGAGTGATGCTGCTGTGCATTGTATTCGAGAGTTCCTCGCATTCGCCTGGCGAGTAGCAGCTAAGCGGAGCAGGCATGGCACTGCCGTTTTAAGGCAGACCTGCTTATCGGAGATATTTCTCGTTAGTCAGGCTCTACGCCCTTGTATCGATTCAATGCAAGGATACGATGGGCAGGTCACTCTCGAAGATAAGCCCGCAACAGATGATAATCCGACTAACGCAACCATAGCGATGAAGGACGCGCTTCATGGTTTCTACGACACTTCTCGAATGAATCTCAATAGCATGGCCCCTACCAACGAACAACTTCACGAGGTGGAGATTGTGCTGACTCTGTATGCGGCTCACATCGAACATCTCTTTCATCGGTTCTCCGAAGCGCGCTACAACGGCTTGCCACAGGTTCCTTTCCATCGATGGAGAAGCATGATGTACGAGCTTGACCTCGTGCATCCCCGCAATCTCCCCTTGATAAGGCTACAAGCTCTCTTTAAGAGCGTGGTGAAAGCTTCTGTCAGCACGACGGAAATATCACTAGATCAAGAAATTGGCGTGGGGAAGACGCAGTTCTCGGAGCTGTTCGTGTTGATTGCGATTGAAAGGCACCGTGCTGCACTAGCTCGCAAGCGAATGAAAACTACAACAATAATGAAGCCTCCAGACGATAACAAAGAGGTTTTACTAGAAGCAGAGCTGGCGGACAGTCCAGGACGTATCATGGCTCAATTTTGTCGCAAGGTCCTCGCTCCACGCGCCTTTGCGAGCGTCAATGCTCTAGTAGAACGCAACTTCGCTGCCAAGCTGAGCTGTCCTCTTGTAGGTCGCGCACTCCTCGAACACCGCTCGTTCCTACGCACAATATTCTTCTTTTACGCAAAACAAGACGAAGTTGCCGAGGACGAACGTGCAGCACTGGAAGAGCAGGCGCTCATTCGTCAACTACAAGAAAACGGGGGGAAAGTCAACGAAAACGCTCAAGCTAAAGAGTCTGAAAGTGTCGCGGTTGAAGTCAACGCTTCTCTCTTGCAGACCGATCCAGGCGCCGACTTCCAACTGGAAAAGACCAAGAGAAGTTCCATGAGCTTCGGCGAGTTCCAGACCTTCTTGACTGCCTTCGATCTGCTCGATGCCTCTGAAGCTTCGTGCGGTAACAAAGTGGCTCTGGCAGATGCGCAGCACGTCTTCTCCTCTGTTATGGCTCTCGACAACGACGACACGTTGCAGCTCGAGTTCGACGAGTTCGCTGCTGCCATCGTCGCTCTTGCCGTGCACTTAGATCCCAGTCCATTTACGCTGTGGCACCAGAAACTCGACAGGTTTGCAACGAAACTTCGAAGAGTCTGGACGCAGATTGAAGAGCTGCCGTAACTGGACCTGCCTGCAATAGAATACCATGAATTAATGAATTACGAGTTGGCACGTCGTCTCCCTAGCTGTCGACCGTGTCCACGACCACGCTCTGGTCAGTTTGTTGTTTTCTTTTTAGTCCTGTAATGCTGCAGGCACGGGATACTATCACAAATTACTCGAAATCACTGTCATCAGCGTCGTCCTCCAAGGCGAAACTCTCTTCCTCGTCATTCTTGTCCTCGTTGTCTTCATCGCTTGAGATTTCTTCGTAGACGATGCGCTTTTGCGTGCGGCGTTCACGCTGTGGACGAGGTGCTACTGGAGAGGGGTCAGCGCCGTCGTCACTGGCTTCGTCTTCGCTGTCTTCCTCCAGAGCCGATTTCTTGGGTTTCTTAGCGGGCGTGGCCTTCTTCGCCGGTGCGGGTTTCTTAGGCGCTGCCTTCTTCGGAACTGTCTTTCGTGCAGGGGCCTTCGGCTTCGCTGCTTTGTTTCCGGCATCATCTGACCCCATGGCAAACACGTCATCTTCATCGTCCTTGACATCAGACTTCTCGTCGTCAGAGCTCGCCAGATCAATTGTTGCAGCTGGCTTGATCGTACGCTTTGCCTTTGGAGCAGAGGTAGAGGTAGAGGCAGCAGCCACCTTCTGGGGAGAAACCTTGAACCTTCGAGCAAGTCGCTCTGCCAACGACAGCTCCTCTACTTCCTCTTCGCTTTCCTCCTTGGCAGCAGGTGGCTCCTTGGGCTTGAAGAATGACGTGATGGGGCCCGCCTTATTGCCGTTCGTCTTGCTGGTAGCAGGTTCCTTCTTGACAGGCCGCTTGACTTGAGTCTTCGGCTTTTTACGCGCCGCCTTCGTGCCTGAAACTTCGAAGTCGGAGTCGTCACCATCGTCATCGTCGCTGTCGTTCTTTCGCTTTCTCTTCTTGGCGGGCCTTTTGCCCTTACCTGCTTTCTTCTTAGGAGTGTGTGACAAGATCCTCTCGCGCTCTGTCTCGGTCTCGACGATCATTTTCTCGAGGGCATCCAAGTCAGTGAGCCACAGATCTTGCACGGTTCTTCCTTCTAGAACAGTGTACTCTTGCTCGCGTTCCTGGAGCTCTGCACGCAGCTTGTCAACGCGTTCCTTCGTCAAGCTCCAGATCTTCATCAACAGCAGATAGTCGTAACCTCGGCTAGCGTCTGCCACACTAGGTTCCTCGTCTTCAGACTCGTTCGAATCCTCACTGTCAGTCTTCTTCTTCGTCTTCGGTACAATCTGATCATAACCTTCCGCAATCAATTCTTCCAGCAGCTCCTGCTTCTTGCGGTTGTTCACAATCAGCTTGCCTTCAACGACAGCGAGAACGAAGCGGGCCTTGTTGGACAGGAGCTTGATCTGGTCCTGCAGCTTCTGCAGCATAGACTTCTTCCTGCGCTCGTAGTACTCCAAACGAATGCCGTAAAACTCCTCCATTATATCCTTGGGGTTGTCATACTTCTTGATGTGTCCCGCAGCGTCAAACAGATGCATGTTGGAGGTAGACAGAGACGATTCGAGCTTGAATTTCTTCACAATTCCGCCCGGAGCCTTCGTAATGTCACTCAGCGCCTTGGGCTCCATTGTGATCGTGAACAGCACCTTGACATCGGTGTGGTTTTCCTTGAAGTCCTTGATTGTACCAGCGTCCAGCAGTCCCTCCAAGTACTGCTTGTACGTCTGAGTCCACGTCTTCACGGGTAGTTCCGAGATCACGAGCGTACTGTCGTCCGTAACGTCGTACAGACCCTGGACAATGTAGTTGCCGGTATCAGTTCCGCGCGAGTTGGTCTTCTCGACAATATGACCTGTGAATCCACGATACCATGGGGTAAGAGGAGAAACTTCCTCTCCGTTGATCATCTGACGCAGACTCTTGATGATATCCAGTGGGTTGTAGTTGGGAACTGAGCTGGACCAACCCGTTCCGATACCGTCACTGCCGTTCACGAGCACCATGGGGATAATTGGGATGTACCATTCCGGCTCGATGGACTGGCCGTCTTCATTCAGATACTTCAGACAATCGTTGTCCAAAGGATCGTAGATACGGCGAGTAAGCTGCTCTAGGTTGGTGAAAATATAACGAGCACTGGCCGAGTCTTTACCACCCATCAGACGCGTACCGAACTGACCAATCGGGGACAGTAGGTGGATGTTGTTGCTGCCAACGAAGTCCTGCGCCATATTCACGATACAGCCCTGTAGACTTTGCTCACCGTGATGGTAGGCAGAGTGCTCAGACACGTAGCCAGCCAACTGTGCCACCTTGAGCTCCGACTATCGATTGCATGAATAAAAAGCATGTTAGCCACCGCAAAACAGCTTTCTTGCATCGACAAAGATCAAAGCAACGCACCCGAAGATTACGCTTGAAGCAGCAGAACAGCACTTTACGCTGAGACGGCTTGAATCCATCCATGGCGCTAGGAATGGAACGGATGTTATCTGCCATGGAGAAAAGGATGAGCTCCTTGTTCACGAACCTGTCAAGTAAAAAAACAAGCACTTAAGTTAGATCGATGGGATCGATAGTCTCCACCTCAGTGCAATTAACATACTCGGTGTAGCCCATCTCATCGACATCATAGTCCACATAAGTGCCAGGCTCATAGCCTCGCAGCCATTCCTTTCGGTCCTCTACACGCTTCTTGGAGAATGCCATGTCGATGACGTCAGCATCTCCATCTCCGTCGTACGTGAAGCCAATCTGGTGCGTCTGCAAGTCAGAGAAGTACTCCTTGGTTTCTGCGGCCGTACTCGTACCCAGACCCTTATAGTACTTGATGACCCAGCCACGTCCCTGGTTGGTTCTCTCCCGCCAAGCCTCGTACTCTGGCATCGTGTAAAACACCTCCTTTGTCCGGCCCTTAGTGCACTTCACAATCGGAGTAATAAACTCCTGCAGAAAGCCGTCCACATGCAGCAGTGACGGCCAGAAGTGGTGAATGAGGTTGATCACCAGACCCTTGATGTGACTACCATCGTGATCCTGATCTGCCATGATCATCAAGTGGCCATAACGCAAGCCCTTGGTAGACTCGTACTTCTGGCCGTACTTGAGACCAAGAATCTTGACCACATTCTGGATCTCGTCGTTCTTCAGGATCTGTGAGTGGCTGGCTTCACGAACGTTGAGCATCTTACCTCTCAACGGGAAGACACCATAGTAATCTCTGCCAACAACAGCGAGACCGCCCACGGCAACCGTCTTGGCGGAATCTCCCTCCGTAAGGATCAGAGTGCAGTCCTTGCTCTTCGCGGTACCAGCGTGGTTGGCATCGTCCAGTTTGGGGATACCAGTGAGACGTGAGCGCTTGCCACTACTGCCACCCTTGCGTCGCAGCTCTGCAGTCTGCTTGAACGCAGCGAACGACAGAATCTTCTCCACCAGACCACTCTTCTCAAGCTGCTTCAAGAACTTGTCACTGAGGTTAAACGTTGACCCAAAGCTGTTGGCTCTTGTGGTCAGCGTTTCTTTAGTCTATAGACCGGAGCAAACCGAGCAGATAAGTGTTAATTCAGGCCTAAACGCATTAAAACAAGTACCACGGTCCATACCTGAGAGTCGAAGGCTGGGTTATCGATCAGCGCGCTCACGTAGACGAACATGTGGTTCTTAATGTAGTTGGGCTTGACGGCCTCGCCCTTGTTCTTCTTCTTCAATACGCTAACGAGTTTGGAAGTGATCTGGTCCACGATGTAGGAAACATGCTGTCCTCCTTTTGTGGTGCAAATGCCATTGACGAAGCTCACTTGTTGGAAGCCATCTTCACTCATGCCAACGCCAACCTGCCAGCGCTCGTCGGGTTTTTCAAAGATCACGCCATTCTTGGTGACGTTCGACGGCTTGGCCTTGGCAGCCTTTGCCTTCTTGGACTTTTCCTCCGTATAGTCTTCGTCGTCGTCACCGTTCTCTTCCGGGTCCTCATCCTCCTTCTCAGCTTCATATCCACGAGGACCTGGGTATAACGCGACGTACTGCGGGAACGACTTGATAGGGATCTTCTCTCCATTCAAGAACACATTCAATCCTTTACCGGAAACACCAGCAACGTCATACACACGTTTCTTGAACAGCGAGACGATGTCGTCGTTGAGGAAGTCCAGCTTGAAGCGCTCCAGATCCGGCTTGAACGAGATGCACGTGAAGTCCTTCTGCGCCCACTTCGTGATCGAGGGCGGGTTCTTCTTGCCCATATTGTTCTCGAACACCTGCTTGTATCGCTGTTTCGTGCTTGAGTCTGCAGTCTCGACGACAAACTCGTTGGAGAAAATATTCGCGAGCTTGGCGCCATATCCGTTGCGCCCACCCGTGGTTTTCTTCTTCTTGTCGTCAAAGTTACTGCCCGTCAGTAAGTGACCGAAGATCAGCTCGGGCACATAGACCTTGTGTTCTTTATGGAGAACAATGGGGATTCCTTTGCCATTGTTCCACACGGAGATCTCGTTGTTCTCCACGTCGATAGTCACCTTCAGCGTGTTCATGGACTTGTCGCGCTGCTTGTTGTCGCACGCGTTGACGATGATCTCGTCAAAGATCTTGTACAGTCCAGGCACGTAGTTGATCTTCTTCATGACCATCCTCTTCTTCTCGTCGTCAAACACCCACATGCTCTGTTCTACGTGCTCGATAGAGCCCACGTACGTGTCAGGACGCAGTAAAATGTGCTCCAGTTGGGTCTTCTTTTGGTAAATCTGCTCGATACTCTGCTTGGGCGTGCCCTTGTCGTCTTCTGCGCTGGCAGATGGCATAGCTTCATCCCCACTATCGTCTACATCGTACGCAGAGCTCTCGCTCGCGTCTGAGGCGTCGCTGTCCCACGTGTCGCTCTTCTTCTTCTTTGCCGGCGCCTTCGTCTTCTTAACTTGCGTCTTCTTGGCCGTGCATTTACCCGCTGCTCCGGTCGTTTTCTTCTTACGAGGTGCGGCAGGTTTTTTCTTTGGTTTACTGGGTGTTATCATCACAACCTAAAGGAAAATAAAAGGAAAGGAAAGAATGTTTTGTGAGTCATCACGGATATTGAGGTGGATTTGGATGAATGAGGCATAAGAGCAGAGAGAGAGAGAGAGACGTACATCATCTTCCGAGTCGCTCATGGCTGCGGTGTGGCGAGGCGCTGGAGCTTGCGGACAACGGACCTCTGTTTGCTGCCGGGAGTGCGGAATGCGGAGTGACGTCAGGCAAGTGAAAGGTGGAGGAAAAAAACCTCGGCGGGTTTTTGAATTCAAAATCAAAATGCCAAATGTTGATATCATCTGGCGACGCTGGGGGAGATGGACTTGTTAACCTTTTATTTGAATGCATCTGAGATGCGGGTTAATTCGAAGTACCCGTTTCTGGTAAAATAAAACGGTGCTTTGTCAAGCATACGCATCAACTTTTAAGTATTAATTTAAATTTGAAGTTGCTTACCACCGAGGTTTTTCCAGAGAAAGATGAGCCAAATGTAGCCATTTCTAATGTTCAAAGCGAATGGCTACATGACAGTCGCACTTGGCAATGTCACCGCCCGCCGCCCATAACGTCGGCAAGTTGGTCCGGCGCGTACGTCGTGACGCTTTCCAATGCAGTAGCCGCATTCAACGGTTCGCGCTGCCTCAATGGGAAGCGTTCGATGTACGACGGACCTGTGGACTCGAGCTGGTAGTCGTCAACACGGATCTTGACGGACGATCCAACGTTGTTCGGGTGCTTCTCCCATGCCAAGTTGTACGCAGTCTCGCGCGCTGTCCAATTCCGAAGCGTGTCGGCCACATTACCATCCAAAATCTTTTGTACGTCGCACGGGAAGAACTGGGACTGGTTGTAGCACGGCGACATATGCGGCTGCAGTCCTTGGGCTCCAAATTGAACTTGCTGTTGATACTGCAATTGGATCGACACTTGCTGGTCGAACTCTTTGATGTACGCGTCCAGCTCCTTCTGTGGCTGGCACTGCGTTGCATCCCGTGCAAAGGTTTGGTACTGATCTACCATGTCGGTCGCGTACGGCGACGTCGTGCGGCATGGCAAACAGCCACTCACCTCAATGTTGGCAATGAAGTCGTCCAGTCCAGCGAACTGGAAGCACTGCGAGCCGTAAGTAAACAACGGTGGAGCCGATGGACGTCCTTCCCAGTGACGGCCGTTCCAGTACGAGGCGCGATCACGCAGCATCGATGAAGACAAGAACTCACGGAACGGTTTGATCTCGTCACCTAGCACCGCTCCGTCAGCAGCGTCTGTGAGACCAAAGAGATCTTCACTGAAGGCGAAGAAGTTGAGAAGCGCCTCACGACCTTCAAAGTCTCCCTCGATCTCTCGAAGCAGACCTCGAGTACTGAGATAGTCGTCTGTGAGAGCGCTGATAGCTACGTACTTGGCACGTCGTCGCTCTACCACATGCAGCGGCCCTGTCAATCGATCGGGACCTGTGGCGTGGACAGCGTTATCCACCTTGAGCTTATTGCGAGCATCATCGACGAGACTTGTCGTAGCACTGAACCAAGCGGCGTAGTCAGCTTTCGTGATGCTGTTAGTAGTGGAGTTTTTCAATGCTTCTAGTACTGATGGATTAGCCAGAGCGGTACCGAGATCTTTAGCCATTAGACCGATCTCGAACTCCGACAGTGTGTCGGAGTTATCAAAGTCATACATCGAAAAGATATAGTCCGGTGCTTGAAGCAACAACGACCGGAATCTGTCATAGTACACCCGGCCATCAAATGACGGATCAAGCACGAAGATAGCGGCATCCAGCCTCGGCATTTGACGATACCATAGTGAACGAGCTAGTTCGTTCTCGTCCAGATACCCACTCTTATCCAGATCAAAGCGGTCAAAAAGCAGATTCGGGTCAACTCCCAGCCACTTCTCGAATTCTGCGAACGTTATCAACCCGTCATTATCCGCGTCTAGAATGGCAACTTGTCCCCATTTCATGACATTAAAGTCCGCGATCAACGCATCAACCAGCTCAGCCGTGAGCTTCTTAAGCGCTTTCTGGTTCTCGAGCTGTGCGATCTCGTAGGACGTAATTTTCCCGTCACTGTCTTGATCGATCTCTGCCAGATCAAAGGACGAATATTTGCTCTTAAATTCAAGACTTACAGGAACACCCAAAGTGCCTAATAGTTCATCCAGAATCTCTGTATCGTTAACTGGAATCGTGTCATGTGTGAGCTCTTCCTCGTTAGGATACGTGAACTCGATCGTCGGGTCCTGCTCGATCTCGTGACGTCGATGTTCCCCTGCAAAGCGCTTGAAGATGAACAACGTGATGTTCGTACTGAGAGCGTCGAAGTAGTTGCCTCGCCACGTTTTGATATTCTGAACTTGAAATCCCCATGAGGTGTAGGAAGGTACAGATGAAGGGATAAAAGCGCTATTAGTGTCGTCATTTGGGTCTTTGTAGCGTGTCTCCACCACTGCTGACGCAGAAGAGTTGGCAGATTGAGTCTGTGCCTGACCCAGAACGGTCTTCTTCTTCATTCCAGAGGGACAAATATCCTCAGGACGTTGCGGTACATCCGTGACAGAGACACAATCACTCGAGTTTGTGAGAGAGCAGCATATGACTTCCCATGGCGTGTCTTCCATCCTCCATCGCTGTAGATAAATATCCGTTGGATCATCGTACCCCATGTGATGGAATGCTCGGTGGTAACTCAGTCCGAAGTCGGTCACTGTTTCTCTGGCGTTGGTATCACTAGGTTTCTGTACACTCTGCCAAAGGGGGTCCATGACAGGACGAGGTAACCAGTACTCGACAGTCTTGTAGTACGTTCGAATGAGGTAGGCTGCGTCTTGTTTGTTGACTGTTGGTATGATCGCTACTGTTTGATCATGAGTCTCGTTGATACTCAGTCCTCCTGGAGCTTCTAATGGCGCTGCATCTGGGTATAAACTGTGGAGAAATGTGAAGGGTCCGTTGGGATATTCACTGCTTGCCACTCCTGAAAGGCCCATCGTATTGGCTGTAGATTCTGAAGCACTATCGACGTGTATCCACATAACGAAGCGCTTAGTATTTCGATCGAAAATCACCTTGGGACGATCAGCAAATAGCCCGCCGCTGTCTGCTAGACGGTCTCCAAAAGGATCAGTCAAGTTCGAGAAATGGAGCATGAGACCTTCGTTACGCCATTCATTGTAGTCGACACTTGAGCACGCTCCAATACCTCCGCGGCCTGTACTTACATCAAACACCTCAGAGTACCAATACACACTCGGGTGTGGAGGAACATCAGACTCTGGTGTTGCTTCGTTAGCACTCGTCGCGCCAACACTAGCCTCCCAATCGATTCCGGTTTCCAGTGGTTCTACGATCGTTCTATCAGGTGGAAGACCCTCGATTGTCAGCAATTCGGCGAAAGAAACAACTTCTTCGCCCTCGTTTCCAGTCAACGTTTCCGCTTGTTGCTCCTCGTCGCTGCTTTGATCCGGATTTTCACTCTCCTGCTCTCGAATATCGTTGAAAAATGCTCGATGTGGAGCGCCGTCGAACGGGATAATGCCGCCGTTGTCGTGGTTGTATACTTCCTGTCTCGACACGTGACTTTCATGATGAACCATAGGATGATGCGTTGTCGCTGAGGGCTTCTGGTATGTCTCCGCCCATAGTTTACGCCACGAACGTTTAGACGTAAGAACTGCTCCCTCACTCTCTCCAGCTGCCGAATCCGTGACTTTCTTGACCCAAGGACACGTGAAGCCCAATAGATAGTCTTTTCCAACGTAAATTTCGTCCCACCATGTCGACATAGCATGGAGATTGTTCAGACTTATAGCAGCTACACTTTCGCCTTGAAACTTGGCTCCACTCACTTTCAATACTTCGTTCAGACGGATCGAGTACATGTGATTCACCCAGTCGAGCGTCACGTCCAATTTATACCAACGATCGGTTTGTATTTTATCCTGGAAAACATGACGAGGCCATTGAAACGTGTTGGCTTCGTGAGTAAAGCTGCCATCTACTAGCGCAATTGAGATCATTATTTCTCCGTTCGTTGCGGCAACGTCACTTCTATGGATTCCAAAGACTGCTCCACGGTTTGTATCAAGTGTGCCACGCTCGAGATTACCGACTCGAACGAAGTATGAGATGCGAGTTGGTTGGGTAGGCTCTAACAGCACAAAACGCGGTCCATTGCGAGATACTTGGCGTGTTTCTGATGACAAATACAACGAGCCACTGGCGTACCTTTCACTACCATGAACAAGAAGAGATTTGGCGGTACCAGCAGCCCCCATCGAAGCATCAACTCGCATAGCCAACTCACTACGAACTTTAACGTAAACAGACCCTCGACCACCACTTCTTGAAGTGTCAGAGGAAGCCCCACCACTCACTTGCAGACTTCCTTGTCCCCAGGACGAGTAAGTTTGTGCGTAGATAGCAATTCGTCCCCCACTTCCTCCACCCCCTCCAGCAACACCAACCATAAGCTCGTGTCCTCCATGACCGCCCATAGCTTCCAATACTCCATGATTCGATGCAGTTGCGCCACTGACTATTAACAACGACCCACCAGAGCCACCACCTCCCGGTGTGACGCCTGAGCTGCCGTCCCCACCATTCACTGAGATGATCGCGTTGGGGCCAATGAGGATATCGTTGATCGCTGAGAGCATAATAGCCCCGGCACCAGCGCCACCTTGAGTTGGCTGAACCACTGGGAAAACGTCGAATGGTTCTTTTCCGCCTCCAGCACCTCCACTTCCTCCTAGGAGATCAGTCACTAACTCGTCGACGTAAGGTGGTGCCACCCAAGTGGATTCAGCATATCCGAAGCCTCCGGGACTAGCAAACGAAGCTCCAGCTCCACCAAAAGCGAGTGAAAAACACTGAGAGTTGACGACCTCAGCTACTGCGTTTAGTCCTTCAAGCTTTGAGTAATCGACCGTCATAGCCGTTGGAGGCTCGACCTCCACCATGGAACTAGACGACGGAGTCATCGATATTCTGTTCCCCTCTCGAGTCCAGAACTGTAATTTCCACACGAACCCTCCAGCAGCTCCACGACCAGCACGACAACGCTTAGCTACGTAATTCTTCGTGCTATCCAAGACCTCGACAAGGTCGTCTTCCAGTACCTGCCACTCTGACGATCGATAAAGTCCTTGGTCGGCGTTTGGGTCGAACGGAGTGACCGACGAGCTAGCGGTTTGATCGGCGAGCGTAGATCCTTGCAAGCATTGGCCATTTGCATCCGTACGCGTCACACGAGCGTCAATTAGTGTAGGTAGATCTTCGAGTAGAGCTTTTCGAAGATCATCCGCTGTGGTGTTATGTGCCAGAGGGCGAGTTACACTGTCGAGAAAGCTCAGTCGGAACGAGCCGGAGAGCTCGTTGCCGTTAACAATCGTTCGAGTAACAACCTTCGACTCTAAGCCGGCCAAAAAACTCTGAGCCTGAAGCTGAGGAACATTTCCTACTGCGGACAAGAACGTCACGCGCCACAAGCGACCGATCTCTGGCACTTGTTCGAGTGTGTCGTCTCTCTGGACGTTGATCTCTCCAATATCTGGGAACGCTGTTTCAAGTCGACGTCGTATATCCAATGCAGTCGCATCATACAGGATCGTTCCTGTTGTTAAACCTGCACTTTTAGTGCTTGGATAGCGAAGTATAAAGTGTCCTTGAATCGTTTGTCCGTGTGCAGCTGATGTCTCAATCTCCTGAACTTCAGGCACGTGTTTGCCCCACGTTGACAGTGTCTTCACGTATACGCGAACACTTGAACTCCCTGGTCCATTCTGGTTGTTATTCACGCCAGGGGAATTCGTATCAGAGCCGATAAAGCCACCTCCAGCGAACCCACCAAGCGTACCAGGTCGAACACGCAGTTCTGTATCCACAAGGAAGCTGCTTCGACTCAAAATGGCAATCGCTCGACTGCCTTGGAAGCGTACACGCACACCCTTACCAATATATACAGTCATAAAGTTAAACACCGCGACCGAAGTGCCACCAAGCCGCGTAGTCGTCACAACTCCATCCAGTTGGACGTCACCGCGCAGTTCAGCTCGATCTGTATCAAATACTAAATAACCCGAGGCCAGTTCCAGCGACCCAATCACGGGGAACGCGAGCGTGTCCCACCCGATCCACGCATTCGGTTCCAGCATACTATCATCATTGCTAACTGTAGAGTTCACCCTTTGCTGGAATCGCCAATGGTGCGTACCCGTCTTCCAGTCCTCAAAGTCGTTCATGAGAGCAATTAGTTCTCGCTCTCCACCGCCGAACTCTCTCGTATAACTCTTCAAATCGGTGGCTTTGATGTCGTAGTCTTCGTCTCCTCGAGCACAACGGTGGGTCACTTTACAGCGCTCGTAGTTTCGACATGAAGTAGATGAAGATCCTTCGTTGCAGCGGGTTGAAAGGTACCAGTCTTCTGCTAGCGATGCGGCGTAGATCCATTGGATACTGAGACTCAGGACGATAAACACCGAGACGATAGCCCCTTTAAACACGGAATACGCGGAGTCTTCTGTCCTCAATCGAGCCATACGAATCGAGTCGTCGACTATTGCGTAGTGACTCTTTGATTCTTTCTAATGTGGGATCTCAACTGACCTCGAGGACTATATCTACGGTACATGAAGTTAAAACAAAATAGAAGGCCACCTTCATCGTCATCATATCTACGGTGTATGGGTCTTGTACCTTGAGCGTTTTATGCGTTCGCGTGTTCTTGAGCGTTGCTAGATGCTCACCATATTTATCCAGCAACGTGACTTGATCGCTTTTGTTCCGGTTCAAGAGCTCACGCAGCCACTTGATTTTATTTGTGTTGAAATCCATAGAGTTTGCCAGGTTCTTGACGGTGACGCCCCCTTCATCCCAGGCCGCAAAATATGTTTCTGCCTGGTTGATGCTCTGGAATCCCCTTCACCTCGCTCAAGCTTTTTTTTTTTTTTCAGATCATCGCTACCGAAGTGCCAGCCCCTTACTGTATAAGTCGTTCGCTGTTGCTGGCGTTCACTACATCACCTGCCGACTGGATACGATTCGAGGTGGTCAACTGGGAAAGCTGGGGCGTGTCTGTCGAAGCTGCAACGCAGCTAGTAACGAGTGTTATCACAATCACGAGCAGGATATAACCCGCACTCGTTATTGGTTGTATAATTGAGGGATCCAGTGTGTGAGGATTCCGAAGGAAATTGTGGACTAGTGGCAAGCTCATGACAGCGAGCACGCACTTGGGCTTTGCATGTAGGGCTGAGATTTACAGCCCACTCCCGCCCATGAATACAATTTGCATCGTACATGTATCAATACGTGTTGTACTAATACATTACAGTACTAGCGTCTGCATATCCCGACTGACCGTCAGGAACAACAACAACGTCAACGCTACATATACATCTGCACCCTGCGTCAACAGCACCTAACGTAATCTTTGATTACCATTTGTTAGTAGTGTAATCAAGGACCAATTGTTGGAACGGATTGAAATATACTATTATAATATACTGTGGTGCGCGCGGCGCACGCAAAAGGTCTCTTAGCGTACTACATGGAGCTGCGTGTGTGTTCTGTGCACGCACAAGCGACATACAGTTTCAAATTGGATTAATGCTACGTGTAGTAGCAAAAACGATGATGGATCGAGTAATTTAGATAGCGATTAATCCTAGGAGTGGCCAACTTTTTGCTGACTTAGCCATTCGCGGAAATGTTGGCGTTCTTGAGCTGGATCAAACTTTGCAATATAATCAGCTGTAAGGGGCTCAGTCAATGTCAGATTGGCGAGCGTCGTCGTTCTCAATACCGCGACGTAAATCGTTTGCGGTGGTACACCTCCAATTCGAGTTAGACGACAGACGACAACACCAAAAATGTATGTCTTTCCCTGCAATTTCTCAGTCGTGCAGGCAAAAGCGAGTACTAGCGGGAACTGCTTCACTGTTAGATGATGCAGCGTGATGCGAAAGAAACTATAGAAGCCTGGGATAAATTGGGGAATTTCGATAACTTGACTTGTCCAGATAAAACTGGAATTCCGACAACCCCAGGTGCAAATCCGGGAACCAAAACAGAGTTGTAGCCGTAGATATGAATTAGGATGAGTTTAGGGGGCTGAAGCAGCCTGCGAACAGTGCCTTCGGGCGTTTCTATAGAAACAGTGGTTGCATCTGATATCGCGGGTGAAAACCAACTACTTTACCAGGCGTTCCGCTCGTGAGCATTTTGAATTTTGAGAGAGTAGGGTGCTTTCTGGTAATCATAATGGGCATTCCATTCGAAATATACAACCTCATTGCAAGTCCATCGGTAAGATAATCATTTGCGTTGAGGATGCGATCAAAAATATGTTGAGATCGTGATGAAGCTGTAGCTTGGATTTCGTAGAGAGGTACCGAAATGTCCGTACTTGTTCTAAGAGCCATTAGGCGGTTAATCGCGCATCGAAGTTTGTTTGTAGATACCACAATAGGGCGGTAAAAATCTGGTAAATCTGCAAAATCGTGCGCTTAATTCGGAGTTTGTACATATCTAGAGTTCAAAAGCTGTAATTGATCTGGTGTAAGTCTCCCCCATCGTAACGCACCAAGGATGTCAGCATACACAGGATCTTCCCGTGAGCGCATATTTTCCGTGAGAAACACTACAAAATTAATAGAATTGTAGAGATTATAGCCAGCGTTATGGTACTGAGTCGCCGTATCACGAGGAGGGAGGTAACCTTAAACAAATAAAACAATTAGTATGCAATTGTAAATTTTTTTTCTCACATGGTGTTCCTTTGACTGGCGGTAACTGGAGCCAGTCACCACAGAGAAGAACGTGCCCCCCCCATTAGCTGCCCTTGTTCTGATGCCATACACTGAGAAGCCAAATCTGTACTACCGAGAAGTGCTTGATCGGTCATCGACACCTCGTCGATGATCATCAGGACTACTTTGCGAAATTCGTTCTTCATTTTGAGAGTTGGCGCGGACCGTTGCCCATACCCAATGACTTTGAGGTTTCTACTAGCATGTAGAGTTTTTCCGTTAATATTAGCAGCAGCGACACCAGTAAATGCAGTAGTTTCCACAGTACCAGAGCGACCCCATTTTGTGGCAAAAGACAGTAGTGCATGTATAACCATTGACTTCCCAGTTCCAGCTTCGCCACCTAAATAACCAATTAGCTGGTTTTTGAGATGATAACGCTCTACGACTGTCTTCAATTGAAATTG